GGCAAGTTAATGTTAATAGCAGCCCTCAGGTTAGCCCAGAAAAGGGCATGCTTGCTCCGTTCCTTTGGCCACTCCAGGTAGGTTCTCTTTGCCATGAGAGCCTTCAGCTTGTGATACCTGGCAGGGATAATATACGAAGGGATCGGCTCCAGTAAAATGAGGATTAAGCTGTTGGAATTCTCACTGAATAATTTGTGATGGGCAAAGTACAGCTCATAGTGACACCACTCGCTCTGCACAAAGTTGGGAGACAACACAAAGATGGACTTGTAGCTCTTCTCAATGCAGTTAATGATGTTCTCCATGATGCTCTTGCCAGGGATAAAGTTCCGCTCATGCTGGCACAGTTGCACGCAGCCCTCCCCCTTCTCCAGGTTCGGGATCAGCTCGTTCTTCACCCACAGCGAATCGCGCTCGCTGTAGGAAATGAACGCGTGGAACTGCAGAATGGTCTCCTGCTCCTCAGGGTGGTTGTGCCACGCTCTCCGCTTGGTCTGCGTCCACTGCCACGTCATCCGCACGTACCACGGCACGTCCAGGTAGATGCACAGAAAGGCCACGGCAGCCACCAGCACCAGCGTCAGCAGCAGAGCTGTCACAAGCAAGAGCGTTGTGTTGCAAGCCAGCTCCGTCAGGTGGAAGTCCTTCAGCTGCGTCCCTCGCAGGTCTTCCGGGTACTCGCACAGGTACGCTGCCGGCCAGCCAAACAGCTTCCCCCCAGACCGCCTCTCCAGGCGCATGAAGTCTTGCAGCTCACAGGAACACTTGAACGGGTTGTGCCCGGCTTGCAGCTCCCTGACCCTCGGGCAGCTCTCGAAGAAGTCGGCGGGTGGGGTGAGGATCAGATTCATCTCTACGTTCAGGAACGCCAGGGACGGAAAGCCACCGCACCCCGGCAGGTCAGCCAGCCGGTTCGACGCCAGGTTCAGCTCTTCCAAGGATTTCAGCTCAGCCATCCCCTTGGGGACACCCGTGATCTGATTGTTTTGTAGGCTGAGTTTTCTGACGTTGACTGGCAAGCACTCAAACACGGAATCCGTCAGCTGATTTGAGGAGAGGTCCAACTCCGTCAGAGACTCGGCCCATTGGCATTGCCCATCAGCCCCATCGTGACGCAGCAAGTTGCTGCTGATATCCAGGTATTTCAGTGATTTCATACGGCTGGTCATGAAGCTTACCATGGGAAGGCTCTCAAATTTATTC